TTAAACCTGTAGGATCCAGGAAAATGGGGCTAAAGGGAAGTTAGTTCCTCCCATGATGTTGCAAGTAAAAAAAAAGTTACTTGGAAATCTCTAGGAATACAAAACTCCCTCCGGATATATTCACTAACATTCACTAAAAACACCAGAGCCTATGAAGCCTTCAATAATATTGGCTATTTATCAAGTTACAAGCATTCTGCGAAGTAGCGTAGTTCTCTGAGGCACTATGCTACAAGCCAGAAGGTCGCGGGTTCGAATCCTGATCAGGTGATTTTTCAGTTGACCTAATCCTTCCAGCCGAACTATGACCCTGGGATCGACTCAGCCTCTAACAGATATGAATACCAGGAATCTTCCTGGGGGGTGAAGGGCGGCCGGCGCTTAAGGCTGACAACCTTACCGCCATCTGTGAACCGATTGTCTAGAAAATGTGGGAACCTCGACATCTCACAACCCTATGGGTCTCCACGGCCTGCTACAGGGACAGCTTTATCTATCTATCTATCTATCTATCTATCTATCTATCTATCTATCTGTCTGTCTGTCTGTCTGTCTGTCTGTCTGTCTGTCTGTCTATCTATCTATCTATCTATCTATCTGTGTTCTTCAGTCATTTTGTTGAACCTTGGTCTTTTCTCCAGTTTCTTAATTGTGCACAGACGGTAGGACTCCTTGGACGAGTGATCAGCCCGTCGCAAGGCCTCTACCTAAACACAGGACAACACAAACACAGAATACTGCTACTTTACACGCACGCGAGTGTTATCATATATTGCTACTCCAAACACAAAGCATAATATAAATACATGGTCGATAGAGCAGGAAATGCGAACTGCCTTTTTCATCAGAAAGAAAAGAAAGAAAGGTTCTGAAGAAAGGACTTGATCAAAACAAAAATAATACCGAAGTTAGGTTATGAAACATTTAAAGGAAAATTACAAAAATCAATATTAAAATAATAATAAAAAATATAAAAAGNGTGTGTGTGTGTGTGTGTGTGTGTGTGTATAATGTAAAACATGACAAAGGAAACTTCAAGCATGGAAATATTGCTTATGTCCTGTGTATACATACAGGCAGGATATAATACTTTGTCAAATGTATTTAATATTATACTGAAAGCACATAGGACGAATGCTAGTCACAGTGGCCACGAGGTCTAAGACATGAACCGTATTCGCCAGCTCAAACACTGGGATCGTGGGTTCGATTGTAACTCAAGGTGTGGATGTCTGTGTGTGCGTTTATTCTGTGTTTGTGTAGGTAGTGGTCTTGGGGAGGGCTGATCCATCGTCCGAGGAGTCCTACCGACTGTGTTTTTTTTTTTCCTTTGGCGCTACAGCCCCAATTTGGACCTTGGCCTACCACCATGAAAATATTCGCCTTACCTTCGGTTTACTAGATCTTATACATTCGGTAGGGCTCCTTGGGCGGGTGATCAGCTCGCCGCAAGGCCTCTACTTGTACACAAACACAGGAAAACGCACCGCCCTGAATGGAATTCGAACCCATGAATTCGGCTTCCGAGCGAGCAAAGACAGTCCATGCCTTAGACCGCTCGGCTACAGTGACAAGCTCCCGACTGTGTATATGATTAGAAAACTGAAAATACGGCCAGGGCCCAACAAAGGGCTGTACAGCCACAATAATAATAATAATAATAATAATAATAATAATAATAATAATAATAATAATTATTATTATTATTATTATTATTATTATTATTATTATTATAATTATACTTGAGACCGCTTCAGTGATCTAGTTGACAGAGTTCCTGGCTACATATCCAGAGATCCCGGGTTCGATTCCCGGCGCCACCAGTCTTTCTGTGTAGTGGGTCTGGAACGGGGTCCATTCAGTCTCGTGAGTGTAACTGAGGAGCTATTTTAAGAAAATAGCGGCTCCGGTCTAGAAAACCGAGATAAACGACCGTGGGGAACCGTTGCGGTGAGTATGCAACACCCTCTATCTGCTAACGTTGGCACTAACTTCGCCGACAAGCGGCGGTCTCTCTGTCGGGATAGTTTGCTTGCGGACTACAGGCCACGGAGTTTGTTTTAAGTCTACTTGTAACAAAGAGGAAGTAACAGCTTATAAGCAAAACAATATATAACCAAAATAGATATTATTCGGTGTATGTTTGAAATATTGCAATTGTGAATAAGTCGAGAGTCGTGATCGTGTTCTACATATACCCTGATATCATGCGCACTAGACGGATATCAGTGTTTGCGCATCGACAGACAAGACAAAATAGGATACATGAAAGTAAAATAACGAAATGGAGCATAAATTAGAAAAAAAAATTATATTTGAGCTTTAATTAACACTTCGTATGAAATCTAGCCAATTTTAACTGATAAACGAGGAGCTCACGTATAAACTTACCTACTTCGAATGAAATAAGTGAAATTAATGTAATGCAGTTAAGAGTAAAGAATTATTAAAAAATAATATTGTAACGGATTTGATCAACGCGTTGCCAGGCAGCAGCTCTGTAAACACGGTCCAACACGCAACAGTAGAGGAAACTGGGCCGTGACGGTTAGGGAGGTTTAGTGCTGTGGTGAGCGTGGCTGGGTGGCTTTTTTGCTTTCGTGGCTTTCTCCGCTTATTTCGGGATGTTCTCTCGTGTTTCCCACTAGTCTTCACCTGTATGGTTGGTATGTCACGAGGAGACGCCGTCAAGTCTTGTCGAGAACTACAACTAAACGTCTCATTCAGGAATTACTCGTTGCGGCAAAAATATCGAAACATTTCTCCATGATGGATTCTTTTCTCCAGTCCTTCCATAGCCAAAATTCGTAATCATTTTGGATATATTAATAATGTTATTTATTTCTGTTAATAGCCATAGAAAGTTCTTTCATTTCCAGCTCTCCTCTTCAATTTCGTTACCCCAAAATAGCCCACGAAACCTAATTTATGTGCCAAAGGCAATATATAAAATGTTCAATATTTTAAACTTTATGAAAAAAATAAAACTGTTTATTTATTCGAAAATTGTGCAATGTTGAATACAAATTAATTTGATTCTCTGTTACTCAAATGTCCCTTACCTTGGTTGTCGATTTTTCTTTTATATTAGGCATTGTTATCTTCAACGAAACAAAACTTCAATCTGTAAACAATTTGCGTTTACACGTACAGAACACGAGACGAAGACATGAGGACAAGTGGAAGTTGAAGAGCAGAAGAAAATAGAAATGACTTGGAAAAGCATCTCCTGAGAATTGCCTGCATCCACATTCGTAAACAAGTTAAGGTTTAGAGCCAAGGGGCAAAAGAGATATGGGAACACAGAAGAAGAGATGGAGAGGTTCATACATGATGTCGGAGCAGGCTAGTGGCAGGCTAGTGGCTAACCCTTGGAGTGAAGAAGTGGGAGAAAACGAAGAATAAGGAAAAGAGAAAGGAGAAAGAAAGAAAGAAAGAAAGAAAGAAAGAAAGAAAGAAAGAGAGAAAGAAAGAAAGAAAGAACACGGACACTCAGACACAGATGCCATGCAGTTTCGCCTGCTACAGAATGCTTCTCTCGTTCTGAGAATATAACGCAAATTCTGCGGGTCTTTTAACATATCATAGCCCGGAAAGCTGCTTTATGGGAGTCCATTATTTTTGAAGGTGTGACATCATCATCACGTGACATACTACCAGTGCTGTGGGGAAGGAATGACAATAGGGCCTTTTAACTTCAGTCTATAATCTGATGCTTTCACCTTGACGTGCTCTGCGTTGCGAATAGTAAAACCACACAAATTTTTCACTGTATTAAACCTCGTCTTATAAATCTATCAATCTTGTGACATTGATGGACATTTAAATAAGAAAATAAATTAGAATATGTGTCCTTAATTCGATCGTTCACCCGAAAACCAAATAGAAGGCTGTGAAAAGCCAATAATACTTGACTTACGCCACTAAGTGTAATGCCTCACCCTGTCATAACACATTACTTAAGGGTGTCAAGAAACCGGAAAGAAACTACGAGGAAATGTGCACTTAACGGAGGAGCAATTGCATGTGTCAGTAGGTGTAAAGAATGCCTCTGTTTACACTTGGGGTTGTAAGAAATATCGTATAGCATTGTACAAGTCTGTCTTTGTTCCTGGCGTGTTTGCACGGAAAGTTTACATTAAACAACACAGAGCTTTATAGTTTTATGGTCGTTTGATTAGTTTGTTATTTAATGACTCATTACCAACTACTACGTAATTCGAGTTGATAACGAAGCAGACGAAGGCATCAGGGAAACTAGAAGAAATTAGGAACAAAAGGTCTCTACTTCGAGCTTCGAATTTTTCAGTCTGTATCCTAGTACCGAGGCTTCTTGTTATCTTTCGTGACAAACTTATTTTTTACTGTTAGGCTTTGATAGCCCCATCCCCAACCCCCATTCTAGAAGATCATCCCATATCGGCTGTCCGCGACTACTAAGTCAATATATTCGCAGTAAAGGGCATGTAACACGAATAGGGGAGAAGAGGAACGGGTATAGGATATTGGTGGGAAAGCCAGAAGGAAAGAGACCACTGGGAAGACCAAGGCATAAGTGGGTGGACAATATTAAAATAGATCTTAGAGAGATAGGATGGGGTGGTATGGATTGGATAGATGTTACTCAGTATAGGGACCAGTGGAGGGCTTTTGTGAACACGGTAATGAACCTTCTGGTACATGCTGGGAAGTTCTTGAGTAGCTGCACAATTGGCGGTGTCTCAAGAAGGGTTCAGGTCCATGAGTGAGTGAGCGATAGCCTGGTGCCAGAGCTGCAGTGTAAAACACATTCAGATTTTACACCTGTTTAAAATAAACCAGTAAATATTTTAAATTCTTCCTTGCTTTTGGCTTTTCACAATTGAGGGGAAGATCAGCGTGGCAACACAAGTATACGTGTATATTTCACAGAGTTTGAGTATCCCTTGTCAGAATTGAGCGAAGAAGCACACATTTACCTAGCAGGTGCTCATGCTACTGTTTATTTATGTTGCAGTCGCGTGCTCCACAGTGACCGTCACAAAGTGCCAAGCGGCTCTGCGGACTCTTCAGGCGTTCCCTTTCTTCCGGCCGACGTGTTTATGCAGGGAACCCCACGTTGACCCCGAATGCAATTCATTTAGAGACTTTCTCTTCGATCATCCTTGCATATTTGTTCTCAAGAAAGGTAAGTTACTTTCAGTGTATGATTAAATGATTCTGGACTTTGAATTTCGGGGTGAAACACGATGTAATGTTTTTTTTAATTAAAGTCTACAATTGGGGGGTATGGATGGACTGGCAGACAGACAGACAGACAGCTAGATAGATAGATAGATATATAAATAGTTAGATAGAGAGATAGATAGACGCGTGGGCAGGTGCTTAGTTATTTTTTATTGCTACTTTGGTGGGACTAAGTCCCTTGTACTGCGGCCACTTCTGGCCAGTTGTACCAGCCCCAGATGATAGGTGAGGGTGATTGTGGAGCAACTGGTGGAATGAAGATTGGTAGGGGAAACCGAAGTACTCTGAGAAAACCTGCCCCAGCGCCACTTTATCCACCACAAATCCCACTTGACCATACCCGGGATCGAACCCGGGCCGCCGCGGTGGGAAACCAGCGACTAACCGCTTGGGCTATGGCGCGGCCAGGTGCTTATGTAGCTACGAGTATTTACGCAGGCAGCCAGACTGATGGCATAAAGAGTATGTTTCTCATAACAAACTTCGTAATCAATCTTCTTCAACGCGTTTTAATTTGTATAGTATTCCTTTGTAAAGCAATAAAGTAAATCCTTGTTTAGAGACAGTAAAATATATTTAATTCACTAGAACGTAATCTTGAAAGGATTCTGACGATGGTGTATGCTGTACAGAACTATTAGACTTATTTTGGACTCTATCCATCGTCTGGTATATAGAAGACAAAAAACGAGATCGTTTCGGAGACTGGATCTGTCTCCGTCCTCAGGTGGATGGTTTCTTGTGTTCTTTTGTCTTCTATATACCAGACGATGGATAAGTCCAAAATAAGCCTAATACTTCCGTACATCACTAGAAAGTGTTTGTTAATAAATATTTTAAAATGTCATTAACTATCCACACTCGTTCTTGTTGCCTGTTTCGGTCGCACATGGGCCATCATCAGGCAACATTTATTATTTGGGATGACCACTGCACTGTACAATTTGTCCTTATTACCCTAGGGCTCACCGTCGTTGTTGTTACTTTGCTTCGTAGGATATTTTCATCCTATCCAGAGGCCGCGTCAATGTTCCTTTTTAGTGTGTCGTTCACTTTATTTATGTGTTTTTAGTGCAGTTAATCAACTTTGTTCTTTTAGTTTTTAGACACTTACTTACTTACTTACTTACTTACTCATGGAGCTGAGCCCTTCTTGAGGAGCCACCAATTCTGCAGATACTCAAGAACTTCCCAGCATTTTATGGAACCCGAAAGTTCATCACCGTGTTTACAAGAGCCCTCCACTTGTCCCTATCCTGAGCCAGATCTATCCAATCCATACCATCCCATTCTATCTATCTAAGATCCATTCTAATATTGTTCACCCGATAAATGTTACAAACTCCGTCCCAAGTGCAAACAATATATATTATATGTCTTTGATCTTGTTCTCTTCTACACTACATGTTTCGGCCTCTATCGGCCATCATCAGGTGTATACTCTTAACGTTGCTGCCACACTGAACCCAGTCTAAAATTTAACATTTAAAAAACACATTGTTATTTTCTTCGTATTATCAACATCTACCTCGTTGATATGTGTCTGGTATGTAGATTATATTGCACACGTCAAATTTGATTTTGCTGTAGTAGCACTATAAAATCTTTAGTTATGATTTTAAAATCCTTTAAAATTTCCTCTAAATTTAAAATTTAAAATTTAAAATTGTTAGGGTTACTCGCCCTATGTCTAAAGTGCTGGAGCGGCTAGTTCTTGTTTCCACACTGCACAGGTGTTATCCTGTGTAGTCTTCCTGTGTGCGTGCCGCTGCTTGTCTTTACTACGTGTGCTCGTTGCCTAGTTGCTTAGACACTACTTAACAAAAACTTACTGTCTTGTGCAAAGCAATTTGTTTAATTATTATATTCTAAGAAAATTATCTCATAGTCTCCTACGAATCCTCAGTATTACCTCGTTGCTTTGCAAGACAGTTGAGTCTTTAGTTGTATATGTGAGTTACTCTTAATGATGTGCTGATATTGGTATCCTTCTGACCTGTCAGTCCAGTGTTCGTTTTCGCTCAGTTGCCCCTGTCGGCCCGAATGTATGTTGCATTATAATTAATCTCACCACTAGAACAGCACCCTCTGGTGTATAACCACCGCGATTAGCTGGCTGGCACTCTGGATAAACGTACCTATTTCCGTCCCTTGTGCAACCCTCTGCAAATAGAGTATCGTGTGTTCTTGCATATCTATGAGGGCGCTTTCCCTCCCTGTCCCGGTTGCGCAGACAAATCACAGATCCTACTAATGAGACTGCGAGAGGCACGGCTCGAAAACGCGCTTCACGTGTGTGTCTGCAAATAAGAATTTCGTTTCTGTTACGCCATAGAGCTTACAAGGAAGAGGGAGGCTACGTCTGAGGGTGGTATGAGATACCTCGGATACGGCGTAACTGAGCCGTCTGCCCCCTGATCTAGTTAGTTACTTCTTTCCACAGCTGATCTTTGTACCCAGCTAGGCGCTTAGCCTCTCGAAAAGATCAGCAGGGACTGGATGACCTTCCGAGGTACGGGATTCGAGAAGAGCAGTATACACTTAATTTATCATATTTGCACTGATCGTTGCCACCATACGGTCTCTAACCGTAAAAGTATCTCTTCGGGAAGGGGGTACCAGGATAATCTTGAAACACAAGGGTGTGTCTATTTACACTTTTATTAATATCTTAAGGGTAGTTACAGGTATGCATTTGAAGTGTATTGAACTTTTTAAGTCTGTCCCATGTCGGGCCCTACTCATGTTCTCTGGCTATCTGATTAGTCAGTAAGGCTGGTGCAGCTACTCTGCTGATCCCATATGTTGCTGTTGTCTCGTTGTGAGCTGGCTCGACTAAATGTTAGGATCTGTTCCATGTAAACTTTCACTACGAGAATAGCGCCCGGTGGCACCTCCTACAACTCGTTTATTAATGGTTATTGCGTATCACAAACCTAGGGTATTTAATAGCTGACTTAGCTCGTCAGAATTACTCCTCTTGTCCTAGTGTTTACGTTAACAGTTAACTACACATGGTGCAAGTGATATATCGGCATCTCCAAGCAAGTCTTGCCCGCCGTTAGGCAGCCCTGTTCTGCATTACTGATTCTTTCTCGTTGCACCAGTCTTTCGGTACATATCTTTTGGGTCCCGGGGTCTCAATTTTATCCCCCTTATGGCATTAAAGATATCATATTTTCCACCTACGGTCATTGTAACATTTCAGAATAAGGTAAACCTATTTTCTAAACTTCAATTACAGAATATCATTTTTTACTGAACAGAACAAAGCATTTTGCCATTTTATATGTGGACTTGCATATATTTCCAACACTTTTCCGTAAATATTGAGTTTCTAAAGCCCTTTCGAGCGGAATTTGGAGAGTGTGATAGTTAGTTATTGGAGAGGGTGGGTTTCCCCATGCACTTAGACTAGTATTCGTCCATTGTGTTTCCCTCTATGATATTCTACCAGTCTCTATATCCTACCGATAATGGTGCGTACCATCAGTCCCGCCGAGCAAGCGAGTTCGGCCACTTGCTTGACGGTGTCTATAATGCTTCCCCCATCTATCAGAGGCCTTAGAGATTATTGTTGGGCAGGAAACGTCCTGGAATTTGGCTCAGTGACCTCCTTTGGAGATATGAGGTTCTTTTACATGCCGTAAAGCTACGACACGGGACCCACGGCTTAAAGTCCCTCCCGGAGGACTTGTTCCCTGAATTTTTCCGCCATTAAAAATTCGACGACTTCCGCCGGGTATTTGAACCCGCGTACCATGAGGTGGGAACGTTACCTCTATACTACGGAGGCCGCTGGAGAGTGTGATAAGTTAAATACTGTTTGAAGTATATAAAATTTATGCGACTAAAAGATACAAGGGTTGTGACTTTGAGCAGTATGATAGGGGTGGTGAAGATAAACCAAAGCAAACACACAGGGCCTGGGCTGGATGTGACCACAACTTTTGATTTGCATTAAACCCTGTCCACTTTCAAACCGTATGGACGTTAGGATCTCTGTTTCATGAATATAGATACATGAAACGTGCCTGTTTTTGATACTGCACCATGCTAATACTTACGAGTTTGTTGCTAAACTTATGCTCTCACTCCCAACGGCGAAACACTAAGCTGCATATCCTAGATTCATATTGTCAGCAACTTGACTAAGGTGATTATATTATTTTTACCACATCTGTAAGTTTCGTAAGAACTACGAACGAATGCAATTAAAGTGTAAAGGTTCAATGAGGAATTCTTGCAATACTTGAAGATTTTCATTAAGATGCTCGCGAATGGTGAATGAATTCTTTCTGGGCTGGTGTCACTGGGACCTGTTTTAGCAAGCCACTTAACACTGGAATTCATGGTTATTGCTCCATGTCGGGGAATACCGTCCTTAGCACCATTTCCGAGCCAACCGATGTCTAGTTCCAGTAATGAGACTCGCTCCAGTAGTGCTCAAGGCTCGCTGAATGGCTTGAGTCTTCCTACAACAACAGCTATGAGCGAGAAGGCATCTAAAACTAGTTCATCACCAACTCGGTGCTATATTTATGGGGGCATATTAGATGAAATATTTTCAATATCACCATCTGTTCAAGGAGGGAAGCAGAGGTATGAATTTAAATCACAGTTTGTGGATTTTATCCAAATGGGAAACTTTGAATGAATTTAAACGAAACCTTATAAAGTTGGAAGGAGCAATATACAGGAATGTTCCAGGAGGACAGGTCAATATTCTGGCATGTTATAATATTGGCCATTCTTAGCAGAAAATTATGTATGTACATGTGTCCTATTCCGAACGGTTTCCGAGATAGAGCTATTTCACTGTACAATTCCAAAACTGTTGTTAAGAAAGAGATATTAGGTACTGTTTCTAATACCGGTATTTATTATTCAAGTGACAAATTTGATACAGTTTACCTCGTATAATACATTTTCTAAAATTCT